TTGTTGTGATTTTTTATTCTATGTAATATGGATTAATCAACTTTCTCTCCTATTTGTAGATAAAAAAAAAAAAAGTTATGTCCTACTAACATTAAGCAATAATGCCTATTGTTTTTATTTGTTGAGTTTCATTTAAAGGAAATAACATATTTTTAGTAATTGTTAAATTAAAAGTAGCTAATGTTTTTATTTGTTGAGTTTCATTTAAAGGAAATAGCATATTTTTAGTAATCGTTAAATTAAAAGCAGCTAAAAAATGATATTCTATTATGCATAGGAATATTATSTATAGGAATATTTTGTACATTTATTTATAAATGTGTTAAATTAAAACTCTAAAGTGTATTTCTATTCACAATTGTAAATTTATTATAACTCATTAAAATTAATATAACAAATTAAAAGTGGATTAAAAATAAATATTATAGAAATATTATAATATAATAATTTTTGTTACAATAATTATTATATTTATTTATTAAATACCCAAATATAATAAGTAAAATTAACTTAGATATAAATTTATGAGTATCTATTGTTTTAAAGAAAAATGTATAAGTTCTTAATGCTAAAAATTAATTAGGGGAAAGAATCAATCATATTTTTATTAAGTAAAAGGGAAATCAATTTTGAATAAATGAAAATTTAAGTGCACCTAATAAATGTATAGAATTTTAAAAAAATTGGATATCAAAAATCATTTTACTTACTTGAAAAAATTTATACTTTTTTTCTAAAATATAAAGTAAATTTTTCTTCCAACACTATTTCACCAACAAAAATTGAGTTATATAATTCTATTCATTTATAAACATTTCTTTTAAGCTTTTTACTTTTGATACATTTTTTCAATAAATAATGATATTTTTATTAATGAAAAATTAAATAAAAAGAATATTACGTGCATTGCACGTGGTGATACACTAGCATATACAAAGTACGTACGGATGGAAGAAACATTTTAGGACAAAATCATCATTCAAGTTTTAATAAATATCATCCATATCCTTTTCATTTCTTCGTCGGCAAGGTTTTTTTTTCCTCCTTCTAACACTTCCGTTTTCTTTCCATTCAGTTTTTTCTTTTTTTTTTTCCAAGCATTTTCTAAACATTTTGTTTTCTTTTCTTTTTCAACTTTTTTTTTTCTTTTAACAACTTTCCATTTTGTTTTCTTTAAACTTTAACCTCTC